GACACGGCCGTGACACTGCTGGAGCGCCTGGCTGCGGTCCTGCTGGCCCTCGAGTTGCCCATCGCAGCTGACAAGGCCAAGGTGCTCAGCTCGAACCTGGAGGTGGCGAAGCTGGTGGCTCGGCGCACCCGTAGGCACGGGTTTCGTGTAGCCACGTCGCTCAACATTCTGGGGATGGAGACGCGTTCAGGCAAGCCCATCACCTATGCCACGGCGCACAAAAGGGTACGCAAGGTCAAGAAGCGGCTCCCCAGATTCAGGAGGCCCCGTAGCACCATCGCCTTGGCAAAGAAGATTGGCACGCCCAGCCTGGGCCCAGCCATGCAGTATGGCCTCCAGGTCGTCAGTGCACCCCCCGCGACGGTGGCCACTATGACCAAGGTGGCACGCGCGGGATGGGGCAAGACCCCATCAGCTACGTCAACGCGGTTGGCATCACAGCTGGAGCCGTCACCGCACTTGCAGCCAGAATGCATCGCCACGGTCGAACCTTTGTTCACATGGGCCCAGCTTGTGATGGACGGCGCGGTGCCCCATCGTGTCCTTCAGACGGCGTGGGAAAAACAGGATCGGCTACTAAGTGGAACGCGAGCCCCTTGGAAGCTAATTGCGGGTCCTGCAGGGGCGGTCATCACCTGTCTCAAGAAATTGAACTGGAGGTATTCGAGTTTCTCTAGCTGGACCACAGGCACGGGCATCGTGCTCGACCTTACGCTACACGCACCTGCATGGGCCAGAAAGGTTGCTCGGAGAGCGTACGTCAATGTCAAGTGGGAACAATGGGCTCGCGGATCCGACGTTTCACCTGAAACAACTTCTGCAGTGAGAGACTCTAGCGGCTACTGGCTGGAGCCTATCCGCATGATGCTGCAGGCCCCGCCCACTGCCAAGTTGTGGAAGCTGAACGACATTGCTGCCGGCGCGTTGCGCTCCATAGTGATTGGGGGCCAGTGGACGCAGAAGCGCTTGGCCAAGTACGGCTTCTCTGACATGGACTACTGTCAGGTGTGCGGTGAAGGATATGACGGGACCCTCCACCACAGGTTTTGGGAATGCCCGCTTCTGCGTCGTCACTGCGTGGACGCCGCGGAGCAAGACACCATCCACAGAGCACAGGCAGCCCCCGTCAACGATTTGTTTTTCACGCGTGCCTTGATGTCCCGAGCATGTCTCCCACCAGTGCCACCACCTGTCATGACAGACCAGTGGTACTACGACCGATGGGAGAGTGGCCTGGCCATATCAGGCGATGTTTTCACGGACGGGTCGGGGCGAACACTGATCGCCTGGCCCGAGGCGAACCGCGCTGCCTGGGGGTTCGCCGTCATGCAGCGGCATCGGTGCAAGGGCCTGGCGTTCGGGCCGCTTCCAGGCCATGAGCAGAGTGTGCCGAGAGCAGAGCTGTACGCTATCATACAGGTCCTGAAGCACGGGATTCTCCCCCTCAACATCAAGTCTGACTGCCTGAACGTTGTGGATGCCATACACAAGGGACCCGCTTGGTGCTTGCATGTCCGTCGTGAACACCTGGACCTCTGGAAGCAGTTCTGGCATCTGGTGCAGGACCAAGGCGGTCTCTCTGAATCATTGCGCATCACGTGGATTCGGTCTCATCAGACGGACATCGGCACCCAAGGTAGACTCGACAAGGCCGGCAATGATTGGGCTGACTTTGCGGCCAAGCGCGGTCTCAAGAAGCACGATTTACCAGCGGCGGTGGTGGAGAGGCACAAGCAGCTCCTCGAGGAGCTGAGGCAGGTGGCCGCGTGGATCGCCAACTCGCAGTCGTTCTTTGGGGAAGTGCCGTAGGACAGGGTTGACACGATCGGCCGCAAGACTTACTCGAAGTCGGCCGTGCCGAAGCGGAGTGTGGAAAAGAAGTTGCATCCTGAGTTAGCCTTAGGCGCAGTTCCGCACACCCCCATCTTATATAAGGGAGGTTGGAAATGTAGTAGGTGCCCTAAGATGGCCAGGTCCTGGGCGGGGAAGCGGAGGATGCTCGCGTTGCCGTGCAGTGCGCGGCCGTGCCGTGCCCTCCCGACCCCGCCCCCCACCTCGGGAAGCTCAGGATCTGGCATAAAGAGGGCTTTGGATCGAGTCCCTCAGGTAGGAGATAGGTCTGTCAGAGCCCGACGCGAAGATGCACCTAGCTGTTTATACCCTACACCTGCTTCCCCCTCTCTGGTCCGCCATGATCGGGGTCAGGGGTCTCAGGAATGCCTTGAATGTGTGAGAGCGGTGCGCCCTCGAGCGACTTTCGCCCCCGTCCTGGAGCCTCCCCCTCGGCCCGCGGAGGTCCTTAGAGCCGTGGAAGTTGGCTCGAAGAAGCGCCCCCGTGGGTCCCAACCTCTCGGCAGGTGCCACGCGGTCCCGCCCGAGGCCCCGCTGCCTCCGTCTGGCCCCGTCCCGCCGAGGAGCGCCCGCGGGCATAGGTTGTATATGTCCCAGGACATTGTAGGCTGCAGCAGGTGCGGAGCGTACTCTGCCAGAGGCAGCCGCTCACAGCTGTTTGACGTCTGTGACCCTGCTCAGCTTCAGGATGATCGTCAGCGCAAATGGCGCAGAGATAACTTTATGTCGGGGGTCCACCCGAGGGCGCGAGGTAATCCCGCTATCCCCGTTCCCCGACCCCTCGACGTAGCCGACGAGGCTGTGCAGTGGCTCGGTCTCATTTCCTTATCCTAGTTTCTGTGACAACTCGTTTGGCTTTGATGCAGCACAGGTCGTATGGACCTGGAGCTAAGCGTCGGTGATGTCGCATCCCCCTCGCTCGACTGTGCTGATTGCATGTGCGTTGGTATAGTCATTGTTATGTGATAGATTGTGCATCTCTCCTTTTTCCAGCTGCTCATTTAATCCCTGTACCTGAACTCGGCGCGTCTTCCCATGTGCTCGCTTGTCGTCGTCGTCGTCGCCGTCATCGTCGTCTTTGTCGTCGTCGTCGTCGTCGTTCGCGTCGTCTTTTTCGTCGTCGTCGTGCTCGTCGTCGTCGTCGTCGCCGTCGCCATCGTCGTCGTTCGCGTCGTCTTTGTCGTCGTCGCCGTGCTCGTCGTCGTCGCCGCCGTCTTCTTCGTCACCGTCGTCGTGGTCGTCGTCGTCGTCGTCCTCGCCGCAGTCCTCGTCGTCGTCGCCGTCGTCGTCGTTGTCGTTTTCGTCGCCGTCGTCGCCGTGCTCGTCGCCGTCGCCGTCGTCGTCATCGACGACCTCGCCGTAGTCCTCGTCGTTGTCGCCGCCGTCGTCGCAATCGTCGTCGTCGCCGTCGTCGCCGTCGTCGTAGTCGTCGTCGTCATCGTCGTCGTCTTCGTTTTCGTCTCCGTCGTCGCCGTCGTGGTCGTCGTGTTTGTCGTCGTCGTCGCCGTCGTCGTCGTCGTCGTCGTCGTCGTAGTGCTCGTCGTCGTCGTCATCGTCGTCGTAGTCGTCGTCGTCGTCGCCGTCGCCGTCGTCGCTGTCGTCGTTGTCGTCGTCGTGCTCGTCGTAGTCGTCGTGGTCGTCGTCGTAGTCGTCGCCGTTGTCGCCGTTGTCGTTCCCGTCGTCGCCGTCGTCTTCGTTGCCGTCGCCGTCGTCGTGTTCGTCGTCGTCGTCGTTGTCTGTGCCGTCGTCGCCGTTGTCGTCTTCGTCATTGCCGCCGTCGTCGTCGTGCTCGTCGTCGCCGTCGTCGTCGTCGTCGTCGCGCCGCCGCCGCCGCCGCCACTAGCCGGCGCCGGCGCCGGCCTGGAGGAAAGGGGTGGGTTCGAATTCCCCCTCCCGCTCCTTCAACTCGTTCGAACGCCTTTGGGCGCTTGCTGGGGGGGCGCACGATCCCTGTCAAATAATACAATGCGGGCCACTCGCGCCGTTCGGCCGCGTGTCGAAATCTTTCCTCGCCGACACGTGGACACCATCATCGTCATCGGTGTGATCACCATCGGCGCCGTCATGGGCCTTGCCGTCGTCGTTCGTCATCATCATCATCATCATCATCATCATCATCATCATCATCATCATCATCATCATCATCATCATCACCATCACCATCACCATCACCATCATCATCATCATCATTATCACCAGCAGCATCATCATCAGCAGCAGCATCATCGTCTTCACCGTCATCGCCATCAGAATCGCTACTATCATCATCGTGTCTGCCGCTGTCGACGTCACCATGATACCGCGCCCGCCCAGGCCACCAACTCGCACTGAATCGCTCATGCGTCAGCGCGGCCCGCGGGACGCGTTGGGAAGTCCCCAACGGTCAGCGCCACCGCGGCCGCGTCGGTCGCGCCAGACTAACTGGCCGCTCTGCGCGAGAGCCTGCGCACGCTAGCGCTGCCGCAGCGATGCGCCACCCAGCGCTAAACAGTCATCGCAATCGCCGCCGCATCGGTTTTGCAAACCGAGTTGCAGGTGAGTGGGGTGTTGGCGCGATCAGTGGAGTTGACAACTCACGAATGAGCATGATCTCATTGCACCGAATAGAGTGCACCACATATATTGCACCACGTCGCATGCTAGAACGCACCGTTTGGGGTCCACGGTGGCGAACACCGATATGTTGATGTGTCGGTTTGTGGTGTTTCCTGACACCTTGGGACGTCCGCTGTAATATATGCCACACTAGAGAAGTGAAGAAAGCGCGGGGAAGCGCGCTGGGTTGTCCGCTGTAAGATATGCCGAAGAAGCGCGCGCGAAGCGCGCGGGGTTCTCGTTTACGCGCGCACGCGCGTGTGCCAGCACACAAGGACGTACCAAGTCGTTTATGAATGTTGTTTGGTGGTGGGGGGGGGCTTGTGATTGGCAAAGTGGCATTGTTGGGTTTCGAATTGAGAGGAAAGAAACAGAAAATAAGAGGGAAGCTGAGACGGGAAGTAAGAGGAGGCTACAGGATACCCCCCCCCGTCATGTCTCGCTTCCCTCCCTGGTACAGTTGCAAAGCATGATTGTTCCCTCCTCTCGTTCCCAGCACTGTTGCAGCAGTGCAGACGACGCAGAAGAGTGCACATCATTAAGGGGGTCGGCAGGATAATCAGAAGATGCAAGCTGTGCTGATGGACCTGCAGGAGCCCGCCAGAGGGCCCTCGGGCCGCGTGCTTCTGTGATGGGAGGCTTCTCTTCCCAGACGCTCCCATAGCTCGCCTCGACACACCGTTTCGTTTTACGCGTGTGATCTCGATCCTGTGGATTCGATCGATGGCCCTCTCCTCGTTCGGACGCCATTGATATACGCCCTACTGCACGTTTCAGTATGAGCTGCTCCTTCCAGCATGACCCCTCACTCAAAAAAGAAGACAGATGGGCGGTGGCCGACACGTCGCTCGAGCGAGATCACAGAAGGGGATGCCGTGGCCGGCACTCTGGGGGAATGCATTGGTTTCGACCAGATTTGGGGTCCCGGAAGGGGCCAAAGAGGCCCGCGCGCGCATACGGTGGGGGCGTTGGTTACAGTCAACCCGCATGGTAAGGGTGAGCCATTTTCCAAGGTTACCCTTGCATTCTTCCCCCTCTGCCCGTCCTTAGCCGCTTTCGCTGGCCGCGCCCCGCTCGCAAAATGTAGGCATGGCCTTCCGAGGCCTTTTGCATCCTTGTCGTGCGTCCTAATTATACGTGTTGACTGTAAGGCATGTGCCCAGGAGGCTTCAGACCCTGGAGAGCTCTTCACCTGATGAGGGCAGCGGCGACATCCATGCCCAAGTCCACGATTGGAGTTCCACTGGCTTCCACACCCTGGACTCCTTATACAATGGTTTCTTATCCAACGCCGCCGCCGTATACAACATTTGTTTTGCAGCAGCGAGGGTCTTCGCCGCGTCCAGAGGCAGACGTGGGACGCTCGTGGCCGAATTGGACACGGCAGGCGGCGGGAGGAGAAGGAGGAGGAGCAGGAGGAGCGCCCGGGGGAAGCACCTGTGCCATTGGGTGCCTTCGGGCGTCCCAGGAAAACAGGCGGGTGGCAGCCCGTTCGTCACCCCTGCTTGCCCGTAGGGGCCCAGGGGGAGACAAAATTGCACCCCCGTCGCCACGTAGCGTGCCCCTTGCGGTGGCCTGCTTGGTACCCCGCTAGGGCTCGGGCGGGGACGCGGGTCGTTTGCGGGCGGCTCAGAGGGGGATCCTTGCCCATCCTTCCCACGGCCCGGGTCACCCCAAAGCCGCCAGAAGAGATTCTCGATGTACTTTAACCCGATTTTATCCTGGGTCCCTGGTTTCGCCTCAGGCCAGGGGGTGCAGCCCGTCCGAGCCCGTGCTCGCGCGAATGCACAGGCATCAGGGGCAACAGGGGGGAGAGTCGAGGAAGAAAATGGCTGCATCAGCATAAATTGTCGACGGCCTGCGCGGATTTCTTTGATCTGCGTTGGGCCCCCCTGGCGGCGCCTCCAGCGCCGCAGATCCATGAAATCCGCGCGGACCGTCGAAAGCTTATGTTTATGCCGTGTTATCTTCCTCCAGATACGCTCAGGGGGGACGCACCCCAATCGCCCATTGATCACCGATTGGGGCTCGATGGCGCGCTCCGCCCAAGACCATGTGGATCTGCTATCGGGGGTCCATCGCCGATCTATCGGTGATGTATCGCCGATTCCAGGTCGATGTTCCCCCCCCTTAGCCAGTCAGTTCACCCTTATCGTTGCCCCTCAAAGCGACGTGTTCATATAAAATGGACACGGGATTCATCCACTCGCTGCCAAGATCGGCGGCGAGCTCGGAGGGGCTTCTCAGAAGCCCTCGCGCCTTCTGAGAAGCTTTCTGAGCCTGAGGGCTTCTGAGAAGCCCCGCCGCCTTCTGAGAAGGCCTGCCCCGTCTCACTCCCCCGCGGGCTCGCCGCCAACAAAAGGGGTGCGCAGCCGGCGGCGTGATCTGCTTGTACTGTGTTCAAAACAGGAGCTGCCCCGCCCACAATGACCTGCGATTGTGATGATATCGCACCATGCAGTCGCTGGATTGGCGCAGCGTTTTCGAACCGATCTTGTCAAGGGCCTCGGGCTGTCGACGGATCCCCCACACCCGCTAGCAGACGTGGGCAACTGACATGCCAGCAGTGACAGGAGCGGGGTAGAGCATTATTTGCGATACGCTATGTAACGTGTGCCACACAGCGCAGCGTAATGTGATGCAGCGAAGCGCGCTGTAGTGCGGAGGCGTAATAGTAATGATGCACGGAGGTCCAGTGCAATGCAACGTCATATGCCCGAAACGATTGCAATGGAATGCAGGTCAAGTGGTCCAATGAGACGCAAGTGCAGCGTATCTTAGCGCCGTGCCATGAAATGTACAATGTAGTATGGTGGTATAACATGTGGCGTGATGCTGTCTGATATAGTGTTCTGCGGTTTGCGAGCACGTGCAGACGTACGTCCGCACGCACGATCGCATGGCTGGTACGTGTTCTCGTGTGCGTCTTCGTGCATGCATGCAGTATTGACCGTATGTTGTGCGCATTCGTTTGCAAACTTGTAGATGGGTTTGAAACTACGTATGCGTACGCTGGCTCGTTCGTGCGCACGCGTGCCCTCTTGCGCCGCCTGCCGTCGCAACCAGCCTTGGCAAGATGAACTGCCAAACGCATCCCCCCTAGTCCTGCTTCCTCGTCGTGGCCATCCTTCTCATGTTCGCCCTCATCCTGTCCCTCTGATGCTACCCATTGCTCGCCCTCATCGACCTCCGCTCCTTGCAGGCCTTCCACCTTCCGTCGTCCGGCTCGCATCGGTTTACCTTCTCGGCGTCTTCGTTCCATCACGTGCTATAGAAATTGCCCGCTCCTCCATCTCAAGTTGCGGCGCAGCTCTGCTGTGGAGATATACAGTGCTCCATGTTGGGGCCGTCATGTTCTTTGATGTTGCGGTGGGGAAGACGCTCTCCCTCCGCCTCGCTCTGCTCCTCTCCCCCTCATCCCCGCGCGCCCCCGAGTACCTGTGGGCGCAGCCAGGGGCGGCAACGGGCCGCTCAGGCAAGGTCGTGATCTTCACGAACCGGCGGTTGCAGGCCCCCCCCCTCTCCGGGCGTTGCGCCATGGGGGAGCGACGAGTGGTGAGGGGGGCACCTCCTGCGCCCTGAAGGGGCCCCCTAGGGCCCGAGAGCGGCACGCAAGGCGCACGTTTCTTCGCCCCCTCGTTTCCCCCCCCCCCCATGAAGCAACGCCTTCGCCGCCCCCCCCCCCCCCTCCGCCGGAGAAAGCAGAACCGTGAGGTCCGATCCGGAGGCGCTCGTGTCAAAGGTCAGGGGAGGAGGAGGACACCTCCATGAGGATACGTGCTAAGATTCTCTCTGTGGCAGCGACTTGCAGCCTCAGTGATCCGAGGTTGCGCGTCGGGCTCGAGGAGAATGTTTCGAGGTTCGGGGCCTCAGGTTTTCGGACGCTTCCGTGGGTCATCGGCGGCTTTCTGGCCTCGGGATGCCTTCCAGCGGCTACGCCCCGCCGAGAGCGTACCAGGGTTGCCCGGATCATCCCGAACGGCCGCAGGAGAGCCGATCTCTGGCTCGATTACAAGGAGGCAGGGCTGGAAGGCAAGGGGGCACAGTCAGGACGCTGAAACAAAAAGCAGCTCGGGTTCGGAAACGATTCGCTGCTTCTTATCCATGGTTATTCATCTAGCACTCCTCGTGCACCCAGGCGCTTATTCAGCTCTCCTTCATGGTAGCACCTCGACTGCAGGGAGCCTCTCCAGCTGTCTCAGCTGCTCGTCCTTACCTTCATTGCCTGGCAATCTACACATGCGCCCGCTGGCATCGTTCGCGAAGCAAGATCGGATTCCGAGCTGTGGGCTTCAGGAAGGGATCATCCTTATCCTTCTCTTCCGCCTCCTGCTCCTCCTCCCCCTCCTCATCCTCCCGCCTCCTCCCCCTTGAAGGCGAACACGCTGTCCAACTGCATCGCGAAGCAGGCTACATCGGGTCCGCCTCTCTGGCCATCGGGCTGCCCTGCGTATCATCCATGCCCTTCCCGAGCGCACCGTCGCTCAACAAGCAAGCAGAGTCAGCTTCCCGAGTAGACGAGCTGCTCACGGGTGCCCACCGCTCTTGTTCCACACCACTTGGTGCAGCAAATTCGCAGCCCTGCCCTCGCGTGCACTCATCCTTCACGCTCACTCTGCTCCCGCTCCCCGCGTGGAAGCCCGCCGACGCGATGCGCGGAGGGTGGCTAAGGGCAGCGATTCTCTCCCAGGGGGTCAATGACCCGTGGAAGATCATTCCCCCCCAGGGTGTAGTTTCTTTGGGGCGTTAATCATCCCAGAGAGGGCAAATCCTCCGAGCGCGCCGCCGAAGATTTCGGGCATTCTTGATATATGCTGGCCATGCGCGGGCTTCCTCGAGCCGACAGGACGTAGCTTGCCCCAGTAAGGACCGCAAAAGTCAATGTGTGTTATTTTCAAGCTGCTTTATTAGGGCCCTAAGAGGACCCAACGGCGCGCCAGGAGGCCCCGAAGAAGCCGCAGGAGGGCCCAAGCGGCCGCCAAGACGAGCTGCGGCGGCCATGGAGGCCCAGAGAGCCACCGCAGGCGACCCGAGGCCCTCCGCAGTCAGCCGCAGCACAAGGGCCACCTTGAGCAATCAGCAGCGGGCAGCAGCAATATTTCAAGATATCCCACGTGTGATAAGCCAGTGCGTAGCAGGCCGCAGTGAGCAGCTCATCTACTCTGCGGACACGCTTCTGCTGCTGGCAGCAGCAGCAGCAGCAAGCAGGACATGCTCGTGCGGCAGCGCCTCCCGTTGAGCTCGGAAGAGGTGTCACTATGTGTTTTACGGCGGGTCGCAGACGTGGTAACGCAAAACCATCAGACGCGACGATGGGAAACGCGCGGTGGTTCTCCTTTTGATTGAAACATTTGGGCGGAGCTGCTGCATTCGAAGTATATTCCCAAAACCTGCTGAATGGGCGTCCCCAGGCGTCCAAGAGGGCGCCGACGGGCATTCAAGAGGACCCAAGAGGGATCCAGGAGGCCTCTAGTATGACCCAGGAAGCCTCGACGAGATTCCAATAGGCGCGAGGAAGCCCAAAAGATGCTCCACGAGGGGCCCTGAGGCATCCCACATAAGCCGGACAACCAAATTTTAGACGTTTCGCGTATCCCCACCAGCTCAGTATAGTGGTTGACGACGGCTGCGTTGTTCTCCCGCATTGGCATACGCTTTGACGGAGACGTGGCGTGTCTCTTCGAGGAGATCAAGGTATCCGGTGTTCTCGGGCTCGTGATCTTCGGATTCTGAGCGGAGCTGAGTTTAGTCGCCTAGCCATTTTCGCTGTCCTCGCCGCCCGCGCTCGGTCTCGGCCCTGCCCGGCTTGTTGCCGCCTCAAGTGGCCTTTTTCCGCGCTCGCCTGCTGTAGTGTGGGCTTCTGCCCTGCTCACTGTAGGCGTGGTTTTCGCGCGACTCCACGACGCCGCGCGGCTGTCCGCTTGCGGTTGCGAACAAAAAGTATCCCCACCAGCTGCTCCTGTGTTGCCCTGGCGCTGCCTCTCCTGCTCCCCCGCCGTGGTGGCGCTTCCGCCGCTGGCACGCTCCCGCTCTTGGCGATCCGGAACTCTTCCGTTGAGCGCCTGCACGCCCGTTCGTCGTCCTCTTCGGCTGCGTCACGGTGGTCTTCGAGTTCGTCGGCTTCTTTCTCATCGCCATTTTGGCGCTGCACCTCGACCTGGGGCCCTTCCTGGTCCTCCGCGTTTTCTGAGCCGCAGCGTAGTTCGCTCCTGTGCGCTTGGCGCTCGGTGCTCGATTTAGGCCGTTGCACTGTTGCTTCGTTCCGACGGCACGCGGCTGTACCGCTTGCGCTCGCGACCAAAAAGTATCCCTCTTGGCCCAATTAGCTCGTAGCTTGCTTGCTGCGACCTCGATGGCGCCCAGCGTCCTCCGGTGCGCTCGCGATCAAAATGTATCCCTACCAGCACATCCAGAAATTATATACAGGCGAGTTGAGGTGATCAGGGAAGTGCGGGAGCAAAGAGGGGGACGGCCGAACCCTGCGAAGGAGGGAGGAGGAGAAGGAGGAGGCTGGATGGATGGATGAGGGAGTGGGGAGAAGGAGGATGAATAGGATGAGGAGGGAGAGGAGGAGGAGGAGGAGGAGGAGGAGGAGGAGGAGGAGGAGGAGGAGGGGGAGGAGGAAGAAAACGAGCAGGAGGAGGAAGGAGGAGCAGGAGGAGGAGGGTAAGCAAAAGCGCCAGAGGTCTCTTGGATGCCTCTCGGGGCCTCTTGGGGTATCTCTTGGGCGTTTCTTGGTGGCCTCTTGGGACGTCTTGGGGGTCTCTTGGCAGTCCTGGGGGGCTCTTGGGCGTCTTGGGTGCCTCGGGGGGGGGAGGGTGGGGGCCGTTTGGGGTCGTCTTGGGGGCCTCCTGGGCGCATTTTGGGGGGCCATTTGGGGCCATCGCCATCTTAGGGCATCTCGCTGATTGGGACCATCTTGGAGGACATCGATCAAAGAAGAGAGGAGCTGATTTTAGCCTTGCCCCGGGGCCAAAACCCGAGTAAAACAAATGGTTTGGGCTTCCTCGCCGAGGCCGTTTTGGACGCTCCAATGGGTCGCGGCACCGCCCGTCCAGGTCCATGGGAGGGGGTAGGGGAAGGGGTCAAGCTACCCACCCGCCCGCAAGCCGTCTTGCTCACTCCCACCCGCCCTCCCAACACACAAGTAACACCCCAACCTGAACATGTCCGGCGGTTTTCTTTCGATGGACAGCGATTGAACCAAGACCAAGCCCATGTGCGCGACGCTGGGGCGAGGTGCGCCACGCGTGCCAGGCGCGCCACGCGCGCCAGGCACCCCTGGGGCCCGAGCGTGCCAGACACGCCTAGTGCGCCAGATGCGCCACGTACCTCCGTGTTCGCCAGATGTGCCTCATACTTCAGCCGCGCCAGGTGCGCCACGTTCGAGGCACGTGCAGAGTGTGTCAGGTGCGCCTGCGCACGTGACAGCACACATCGGGAAACATGCTGGCCCCCACCATCCATGTCGAATGCCAATGCCCATCATTGTGTCTGGTGGGCCTGCATACAGCAGGCCATGCGCCACCATTTGACAGTGATCGCGGGGCGGCCGCGCATGATCCAGATTAAGCCGCGAGGTGCATTTTGTTGTTTTTGGTTAGAGCGCACGACAGGAAATATGCTGACACCCCCCGCCGTCCCTGCAAGTGCTCGCGGGCCTCACGGACATGACCCCAGACTTTGCCCCAAAGTGTACTTTGCATTGTTTGTTGACAGGGATGGTAGGGGGGCGCATCGAGTTGGCAGCGCATGCTCCAAATTTGAGGCAGAGAACGTTTTGTATTGTTTTTTGACAGGGCTGGTGGGCCCCCAATCGTGGGGGTGTGCCCGCATGGTTCCTGGTTGGCCGCCGGTCGCCTGGTGGAGTGGGTGTATATTAATAAGGAGCAGTGATAACCCCTCCCCGAAGGGGAAGAAGGGGGGTAGAAGAGGAAACCCCCTAAACCACCTACGCCCAGAGGGCTGGTGGGATTATCAAACCCATTTAGTTGTTGTATTACGCTGTACGGTTTCACCCTAACGGCTCAATATGGTTTCGAGAGACCTTACGACCTCTCCAAGGCTGTCCACCAGGGTCCCAACCACCACCTAAAAATGTCCCAAGAGGCCCATTAGACGACTCAAGAGGACCTCTTGAGGAGTGCAAGACGGCCCAGAAGAGCCCCGAGACAGCCCCCGAAGGGCCCCAAGACCTACCCGAGAAGGCTCAAGAGTGCCCAAGAGCCCCCCGATAACACTCAAAGAGGCACTAGAGGCCCCGAAGAGGTCTCAAAGAGGCCCCCGAGTTGGCCCAAGAGGTCCCGAGAGGGCTTCCAGAGGGCCTTAGTAGAAAGTCCCGAAACAAATTCAGAAGGCTCCGAAATTGTCCAACAGGCCCCGCAAAACTGAAAGAAACGCGCAAGAGGCTGCAAGAACAACAAATAGTCGCGAAAAAGGGCCTAGCGGTACCCAGCAGCAGCACGAAGCGGCAAGCCAGCAGTAAGC